GGTATTTATGTCTACTCACACGTCAACGCAGTAGCGTTCATACGCAAGCTCAATTCAATTGATGCGTGCGTTACGGAAGGGGCTAGGTTTATTGACCCACCCCGCCCCCCACTATCTCTCAAACAAAGGTATTGTATGAACATCTCATGCAACACATCGCTTTCTGTAAAAATTTCCTTAGCGTATTTCAGTCCGTGATAGCCCGTATTTAAAGATACGCGATCAGTAGAACCCTGATTATGCGAGATCATGGTGTGAAAAAGAATCGACACTTTTCCGTTCACGCGCTCACTCAGACTCACTGAGACTTACCCCCGTATTCAGAAACACTGCTTGACTTGAACTTGACTTGCCACCGCCTTCAATGCAGCACAAATGTGTTTCGAATGCATTGTCTTTAGGCGGTGCCAAGGCAGCACAGACGCACAGACGCGTTTCAAACGGGCTGCATTGAATGCGGTTTTAAGTCTAGCTCAAGTCAAGGAGCGTCTCTGAATACGTGGGTAAGAGCTGTGAGTCTGAGTGAGTCCAAGTGAGTGATGCTTTGGTCAGCCTGAGTCCAAGTATTATGTTGATCACCTTCAGTCCGAGTGAGTAATACATTGGTCAGCTTGAGTCCAAGTGAGTCTGACTAAGAAAAGCTTTAGCTTTTACGCCCCGCCGCGGTGGTCTAGTGGCTAAGGTACTCGGCTGCTGACCTGCATGTCGCGGGTTCAAATCCCGGCTGCGGCGGCTGCATTTCCGATGGAGGCGGAAATGTCGTAGGCCCGTGTGCTCAGATTTGGGTGCACGTTAAAGAACCCCAGGTGGTCAAAATTTCCGGAGTCCTCCACTACGGCGTCTCTCATAATCATATGGTGGTTTTCGGGCGTTAAACCCCACAAATCAATCAAACAAAAGCTTTAGTGATCGAGTCTGAGTCCGAGTGAGCCCTAAGGGTGAGGTGTCTTTTATGGGTGAGTCTGCGCCAACTCTAAATTTTTGCCGATGTATGCTGTTTAGTGGTCTAATTTAATTAATTTTAGGGTTAATTTTGCCGTCTGTGTTTTAACCAGAGTTGCCATAGTTTTCGCGCCTTTTATATAGTTAAGAATGCACTCTCGCAGTACTCTTGGTCAATGGGGTGGTGTCGTATTCTGGGAGGGATAAAGTGAAGTGATGCGTCATAACCGTGACATCCGTGATCAGCTCCTTCAACGCGTCATTAGAAAGCTTTAGTACTGCGGAATGGTGCTACGTACGCATCACGCAAGCGCCTTGCGTTACGTGGCGTCGTTTGCCACTAATCGGCTTTTAGCACGCCGTAGTACCCGCGTACGTAACGAGCGTGAAGCGTGTTGCGCCATCTGGTAGATAAAAAATAGAAGCACATGTTATTGACAGCCAATGTGAGCCAATCCAAGTGTTATAGCCAGATTATGGCCATATTTTAAGCCACAGAGCCGGTCGGTGCTTGCCTTCGATGCCGCCATTTTGCAAAAACGAAGTCTCGCGCTGTCGCGAACTTGTTCGAGAGCGGCGCGATCAGCTCATACGTACGCACGCACGCATCTCATGCGTGCGTACGTAGCGGCTGCGTACGTAACGCGATACGTGCGCGTTGCGGTCTGCGCATGCGCACTACGCAGAACGTGGCGCCCTTACGTACGCAACGCCGCTACGTACGCAGTACTAAAACTCTCTATTGTTCCGCGCCCGTCTCACTCGGCGTGTTTCCAACAGAAGTGTGGTTTTGTAGACGTCCTAACACGCACCGCTAGGTGTCGGCCTTGGCCCAAGCGTGCGCCTTACTGATGAGATTTATCCATACAAAAAATAGCTCAGTGACGCGCACCTTTTTCACCACGTTGTAAGTCCGCGTTCCCCACTTACGCTCGCCCCAAGAAAAATCGTAGCTCCGCAACAAGGGAGACACGACGTGCATTGCTTTTTCTCTAGTCGGGCCTTGGTATTCAATGACTCGTTAGCGCCCCGCCACGGTGGTCTAGCGGCTAAGTTACTCTGCTGCTGACCCGCAGGTCGCCAAATCGAGTACCGGCTGTGGCGGCTGCAGTTTCGATGAAGGCGAAAATGCTATAGGGCCGTGTGCTCAGATTTCGGTGCCCGTTAATTAAAGAACCCCAAGTGGGTCGAAATTCCCGGAGCCCTCCACTGCAGCGTTTCTCATAATCACGTGGGGGTTTTGGGACGTCAAACCTCACATATCGATCAATCAATAACTTATTTATGTGTCACGAGTAGACGACCTTAGACCGAGTTTTGTGGGTAAATGGCGACACTTTTTTTTTTGCAGCCACGCCATTTTCTCTGAATCCTCTCTCACCTTTAACTATGTAACAGCTACCACGACGGTTTTGTTTCATGGCTGATCACGGAAGTTAGTCGTCTGGATGTGTCCCCAAGCGTTGACGTGGTGCATCCCGAGATTGTAGCCGTCAAACACCGATAGAGATTGCGCAGTGTTCTTTTGTATCGACACACAGTAAACATTCACCATGTTCTGTAAGGGCGCGTTTCACTTTCATGTTATATGGATTGTTGGAGGAATCAACCACGTTATTTTTCAAAATTCGTGCGACGTGGCGGCAAATCGCAAGTGTGTATGCACATTCTAAAAGTGCATGCATGCAGACACTAGTTCACTGTACACGAATGCCTTTCTCACCTGCGTTACAGTTCACTGTACCTCAACGGCGAAGAGCACAATTGTATGCTGAAAATTCTTTATTCAGTTGGCTTATAATCGAGCACAAAATCAGTGTTTTCAATGGGTGAGTCACAAGAAGCTGTGACTTGGCAGTTTCGCAATAAGAAACAAAAGAAATGTGAGGCATTCTTGAGAGGCAACAAAAAGGGCGCGATAAAAGATGAAAGGCCGATTTCGTGACTTTTGGAGCCGTGCTGCTAACCTTTGCAAAACCAGATGGCCACCTTATGACTGCCGCCACATCACTCCATATGCTTTTCATCGCCGGGCTCTTGCCGACTTAATTGAACCGACAACCATTTTTTTACGATCCAGTATGTTTACGGCGTGAAAGAAAGCTCGCCCTTGGTAACACGGGTTTTTAGCTGCACTAGTTCATCCCAAACGTACGTAGTTGTTTTGTGGACGTTATTTTTTCATCTGAAAAGCTGTAAATACAGAGGTTTACCTCTGATCCATCAATCCCGAAACTTTATAGCGATGCCGCTAGCCCTTCTCGCGATTTGTGACAGCTGCCCGACAGGCAGACAGCTGTGGTCGTCCTGTTTTCGTCGGAGTTCCTGTATACCTATGCTTAACCTCCTTTGTTTTGAACTTTTAATTATTTTTATAACTAACAAGAGGGTACACGTAAATAATGTGGCTTTTTACACCTTCTCCGTACTTGTACCCCATTGTGTGGGCCTGCATGAGCCCTAGGATTGCTCATGTGTCATGGGTGCCTTGTCCCACGCACGGCGTTGTTATACTATCGATTCGCCACTGAGTCAACTTATTGAAAACGTCACTACGCATATATATGCATGGCCGCGCTGCGAAGCGCAGTGATCGTCATTTCTGAGACAAAGCGTACATTGCGAAACGCACTCCAAAATCTTCATGACCTGGAAACTGCGTGCACGGTTGTATGCATGCATGCGAGCGCGTTGAAGGTGGTCGAGACACGCTGACGAGCATCGGACTGTTGCGTCACGCGAAGGCAGCGCCACTTTAATAGCTGCTACTAACGTATCTGTATGAGGACGTTCCACCACGTGACCTTGACCTGCTTCGACTGACGCCGAGACCACGTGACCTCGACCTGCTTCCACGACCGCTTCGACTGGCGGCGCTGCAGCCCCGCCAACCGCAGGGCACGGTATGTTTTCAATAGCGGCAGTGTAATCATACATGGAGCGCAGGTGGATTTCACGGGTAAATTTGTTTCACTTCCGTTTTCACTACGTTTCGCTTGTAGCTATTCGTTCTCACGCGTGCCCATGAAATGTGTTGCCGCAATGCTTACCGTAGCGCGTGAGCTGTATACGAGAACGCATAGAGTTTCCTAAAATTACCTAGAGGTGACTCTGTCGCTGCGATCATTTAGTAACCATGGGAATGATAGTACACACATTTGCCTAATCTTCGTACTTGCGGGTGGCGAATCTTACTTGCGGCTTCGACTACCCACCATTCTCGTGCTTGCTGAAGCACCGTGCGTTGCAGCTCCCATAGACACTAGCGCCAGAAATCCCTCTAGTGTATATTAGGAAACTCTATGCGAGAACGGGCTTCATGGGCGCGTGTATAGAACAACGCAACCACAAGCGAGACATGGTGAAAACTGACGTGCCAAGACTTGTATTCAGTGCAAAGAAATTTATCGTGGAAAATCTACCCACACTTTATCTATTCTTAGCCACAGCAAACATGCCGTGTCCAACGCTTAGTGGCGCTGGCGTCAGTCAAAGCGAGATGAGGCCAAGCGGTGGAGCGTTCTAGTTAAGACTGGTGGTGGCTCTACATTTTTTTTAGGGTGATATGTTTTATTATAATGAAAGGAACAGTTATTTCAATATACTAACAAAAATCGACAGCAATCAATGGTCACGTGATAGGGTACATTGGACCATTGATGTTTTTGCCCCCAGATGCGCCAGAGGTCATTTGCGCGAGAATCAGCTAGTAAAGAAAATAAGAATATAAATCCAAATCTCACACACACAAAAAAAACAGGGTTGTTTGGAGTCAATTCGACGGACAAGCTTTCCATCAGTGGAGGCATCTTACACGTTCTGAGTGGTTGTTAGTTCTTGCCAACTATGATTAAAATATTTGCATATATCCAATGTAAGATCACTAAGGACTGTATTCAGAAGTGTATGTCAAGCTCTTTGTAGTAAATTTCATCTAAGCTACGTGGATAATTACACTTTTGTATGACAAAGTCTCCTCATTGGAACTTCGTTAAATTGAAATGTGGTGTTTTTTAGCAAGATGCGGTCGCAAAAGGCTGTTTTTTTATTTGCAGGGAACAGGGGATGTGCCAGGAGAATGTCTGATCAGTGCAACACCAAAAAATTTCATTTATTTAACCTGAAATTCGGTGACCAGGACTTGATGCGACGCCGTCGAAGACCTCTTCACAGTGTTTCACACGTCAAGCGAAAAGAAACGCTGGCCAAGCCCTTCGTGGTAATACGGAACATCTGATGCTATCCTGCATGTCTTTTCTCCACCATAGCTTATGATCTAAACTACGCGTGTTGGCCGGATCAGCGCGAAGCTAATGCTGTCGATCATGTTCACCGATGCGAACCCCTCGATTTATTGCACTCGCTCCCTGAACGCTCAACATCAATAACTAAGGCACAAAACAAAAATAGCTCTAAAATCACCTAAAAGCAAAGTTACAAACTCAGTCACATAACCATTTTATCACTGGCTTCAGCAAAAGTCAAGTTACAATTTATATCGCCTCAATCTTCCTCTGAGCAGCACTGAAACTTCGCTGTGCTGAAATCACGGGTAAACACACTTCGTTGAATTGAAATCCAAAATAGGTGGCTTTATAAGGCCACAAGGTTGTGAAGAGCGAAATACTTCATGATATCAAAACTTTAGCTATATAGAAGTTCCTTTTATCGAAGCTTATTATATCGAAGTTTAAGCGTATTTCTTAAATGGCTCTTTCGTTCATTCCAATACATTGACATTCCTTCTATAGGGCGCTCTGTGAACTTCCATCCCAGACAACACTCGGTGTCTTGAGAGCATCCTCAAATGGTACAATCGTCCTCGAACAGTTCAGACTGACCTTGGTACTTACTGAGGATGACAGAAGTTGGTTTGACCCGGAAACGTCTTTTCAAGTGATTTCTGAGGAAAACAATTTATCCTGAAAAATTATTACAAGGACTTTTTGGGAATGACCAAAGCAATGCACTAGCATCTGGTTAAGCGCATTTTCGAGTGCTTTCTGAGGACAACAATTGGTCCGGAAAAGGTGCTGCCATGAACCTTTCGGGGATGACAAAATCATTGCGCACCGAGTACTTAGATATAATTCCTCAAGACCTTTGCACGCAAAGTAGATGCATATCATGTGTAAATATTTCTACGCACGTTTGTTTCATACAGTACAGTTACTGAATATTTTCGCCTCGTACGTTGCTTCTATTTTGGAAGAAAGCGTTCAAATTACGCGTTGCGCTCAATAGAAACGCCAAATAATCAGCTTGGGTATCGAAACTGGTATTGAGAAATGTTCATTTGAACAAACAGCACGTGAAGAAATGTGAATGCATTTGGGTGCGTCCGAGTCTCTGCGCGCACTGCTCCACTATTCATTAAACATTCCATACTCAGAATTGATCAATTATATCATTTTAAATTACTTCAGTTAATACAAAAGACTAAGCTATATGAAGAAAGTTGCACCGAAAGACCACACTACAGTATGCGAGAACAAAAGAAACGAGCTCCCAGAACAAGAACCAAGTATGGAAAACAAAGTATTGCTTACCAGGTACCTCAGGTTTTAAATACCCTTGCAGATCAATTGAACTTTAGGGCTAGTAGTGCGACTTTCAATAAACAAATAAAGAACTTATTCATAACCAGCGGTCTACACTATCGAAACTACGTAATGGAGTCTCATGCCTCTGCAAATGCTTAAATTGTTCATAAACTTCTATGTCAATTATACGAGTGTATACAGCGGAATTCATTGTATCCGCATGCATTTTGTGTCTGTTTTTGAGTTGTTTCATTGATATTGTTTAGTTGTGAATTATAACGAGAGTGACGTCTAATTCTTAAAATGTGTTATGTAAACTTCTTATGCTATTTATATTTGAATTTTGTGTTTACAATTTCAGGTTGTTTGAAACCAATGTATTGAATATATATATTGTTTGCCAGTGTTGATGTCTAAGCTTTGCACTGTCACAAACTGCGGAGGGACAAGGGCCTTTGTCAGGCTGTTCGCCTTTAGCCCTTTGCCCCTGCAGTGAGCTCTGTATCCAGCTTACTGTAAATAAAAGTACTACTACTACTACTAAAGCGCGATCCCGCTCGCGAGCGCCGGCGAGAACGGCCGCTCATCGTTGGCGCTCTGCCTCTGCCTCCCGCTGTTTCACTCGAAGGTCGGCGGCTCTCCGTTGACGTTTCCCCGCCGCTTCCCGAACAAGAACCACTTCAACGTTCTCGGCTCGTCATTGACGTTCATTTGCAGCGCTCTCAGCTCGCCGTTGTTGCCGAACAGCAGCCTGTCGAGCACACATATCAGGATCTTTGACTCGTCGTTGGCGTTTCACAGTGGCTTCCCGAGCCCGGAGTTCCACATCGGCGACTCGCTGCAAGCGCATGCGTTCGGTAGAGGCACCGTTCAGGCGAGTTTTTCCCGTCTGACTACAGCGCCAGAATACATAGCCTAGCGGATAAAAAAAAGAAACCTCGAGACGGCCTCGGTGACAACGGAACGCGACGCGAGCGTTTCGCGCCTTGAATCCATCGGCGGATTGGGCCCGGGATAGGTTGGGGACGCGAGCACGTGTTTCTGTTTTGCGTGCCCCTAACGGCGAATGTCAGAAACTTTGAGACGGGGCAGTGTGAGCGACGCAGCTCCCACTGGCCAATGTGCGGTGCCTATTACGCGCTCTTTTCTTCGCAGCAGTGTCTTCCTCTCCAACCGATGATGACGTTGAAGCAACTGCAGTAACGCCAGCACCAGGGAGAGGCATAATGCTTGAGTTGCATTGTATTACACTTCGTCCTGGTGGTATCGTTGCCGCGAGAGATTTGACTTCACCGACTTCCATCGCTATCAAGACACCAATGCGCACGCTTTGTGCATGATATATACAGGTCCAAGCGCGAGGGGAGGAGCGCCCGAGCTCTTGGTTCATTCGATTCGCCTGCACCAAGTGAACCAGTTCACGAGGTGCTGCAACTTGCCATTCGTTTCAGCAATGCAGCATTGACGACCTTTGAATCCTGTCATTCGTTTCGTAAGGTGCAGAAGAGGCGCAGCACTGGTTCACAATTTTCCGGCACCTCCTATGCTGACGGTGCCGGCTTGGTGCAGCCGCGCGTGCAGCTGAGCACCGCCTCTACTAACGCGTAGTGTTTTGGCAAGATGTTTGCGCCTCATAAACTGTCCGCATGTGTGAATAGCCATCGGTCAGTGTTAGATGAATGGTGTTTAAGCGAATAGAAATAAGGCCCGCACCTTGTAGGCACATCGTCATTTGCTTAGGGTGTCGTGCTGTGCCTGCACCGCTCAACTCATGCTGCACAATTTCTGAACTTCGCGAAGTATTCGTGAATCGGTTCCGACTCGTGCAGGTGAATCGAACAGACCTCATGTCTCCATGCCGAGTAAGCTCCACGATGCGAACGCCCTCACCAGGTACGCTCCTCTTCCCCCTTACTACAGTGGCTGTACTATGGTGGCTAGAAGGAGCACGCTGTACCCGGCTGTACCTTACCCTCCGTTGCTCCTAAGGTCCCTATAGTTGCTCCACGATGCGAGCGCCATCACACACCAACGCGCTCCTCCTCTCTCTTACCCTCCACCGCTCACCAGCTGCTCTGGTTACTAGGCGCGGCTCAGCTGTTGCTAGGGGTGAGGAGGAGCACGCGCTGAGAGATCTCTGCGCACGCTGACAAGAGACGCACGACAACCCCCGACTAAGAAATGCATTCGCATTTAATAATGCGTTAATAACGTCACAGCCCTAAATTAATTACGCTTATTGTGTAATAACAAACTAGCCGCTGGCAACCACTGACGAAATGGTGCCGTTTTGGAGAGTCAAATAGTCAAGCCATTCCAATCCAACTTACTGTCAACCACGGCGTGCTGTCAACTGTCAAGATGGAATCTTTCGGTGAACGTACAGCGTACTAGTGAAGGTTCGTGTTCTTTGTTGTTTCTTTGTACGGTTAAATGTGAGATATGTGTGGGAATGTAAATCGTAGATGACGACGGGAGGTCAACTGCCGTATTTTTTCGTACACCGGGTTGCTCAACGTTCTGACTGATAGTGAATGTATCAGAACCAGCCGATCGCGGCGCGTTATGCTTCGAAGCAGCCTGGAATACAAGCCGATCGTGGTGAATTGTGCTTCGAAGTAGCCTGGCCCCATTGCGAAGGAATCGACTTCGGCGTCTAGCACGTGGCCCGACCTTGGGCAAGTCAACTCAAGGCTCGTGCCGATCGTACTAGTAAGCTGTCAGAGCGGAGTCTGTAACACTAATTAATGCATTGGGCACGATACACGTGGTGATGAGAACAGTGTGTCAAGCTTTCGAGGGGCATTACAAACATTGGTGATTGAGCTGTGTTGACAGCCTTTACACTGTTTTTCTTGTTACAACCTATACTCGGGCTTGAATGCCTGACAAAGCTGTTAGTTGTGACTAATTTCTGTTAAATAAGTAAATTTTGCTCAACAAGATTTGTTTGTTTTACTGTATAATAGTCCAGCTCTGTCACCTTTTTTTGCTTGATACAGTATACATACACGAGACCCTTCTAAAGTGTTTTTCCTTTGTTGTATGTAAATACCACTGAAAGAAGTAAATCTTAAAGAAGCCCCGAAACACTTCTTTAAGTAACCACAGAATGAATGCACTTGAAGGGCTAATTGCGTCACGAATTCAACGCCGCAAAAATTTTAAGAACCCGTCCAGTGCGAGTGGAGATACGAAGGTTTATCGCATGCTGCAATTTAATTCTCTTGTACCGGCGAAAGCGCTGGAAGCTAAGCAGGGAGGGATGGCAGGGCCACAGAAAAACGTCACGCGTGCTTCGCGACTTCGAGCACTTTTTTTACTTGTTTTTCCTTCGAATGCGCGGCTCTCTCAGTGTCATCGCGCGCGCACGCGTGGACAAGTAGCGGCCTCCCGCGGTGATCTCTGTAACGAGCGAGCGCGCCATGTTCAAATCAGTCAATGGCTAATAGATGGGTCTCTGACGCGTGACTTTTGGGCATATAACGTGATTTGTCGTAAGCAGAGAAAGCAATTTTTAGCTGACTTCGATAATTTATTGTGAATCCCAGGCTGCGTGCTGCGCTATATTATTTGGCTCGCGTGTTGTCGGGAGCCTCTACTACCGATCGGCAGCGTTTGTGACCATGCTCAGAAAGTGTTGCAGGGCCCTTTTAAGTAGTATTAGAGCCTACAATACCGAACCGACCGCGCAATGGTCGTTCTGAAAAGATACTGAAAAAGTCCTGAAGTGTTGTTTTGACGATGTGCTGAGGTTGTTATGTGAACGGACAAGAGCACTGGATAAGTGCCATTCTAGTACCGTAAGAGGACATTCTGAGGTAGTCATAGTGTCCTCATGGGGGCACTGTGTTCTCTGGGCATTCTGAGAGCGACCTCAGGTTGTATTTGTGTTGTCTGGGTCGCGTCAATATTATTTAGCGCATCCATTTTTATGTATCACAAAGACCAGATAAAAAACTATAGTACATTTTCATGGATTCCTCGAACGTAGTGAATGAACACAAACTATTCGCGAATGGTCTTGCGTGCCCCTGTTACAGAACGAAAATTCGCTTTCCTGCTTATGCGGATTACAATTTATAAACTAGCTTAGAATAGGTTCGTGTGGTTGGGGTTGCTTGAGCACCTACTCTGTTTTCGAAATATCAAACTGCTTACTCAACAGGTTGGCTTATGACGCACGTGCAACAAACGCTAACGCGCATATCTTACCGGTATATATGTTCCAAAACTGCCGAATTTTCTTTATTTTCTTTATTACTTTAGGACTAAGATTAGTCGCCCTAAGATATTTGCATTATGTATTGCGCGCTGAAAAATCGGTAGTGTCATCAGCTGTACCCATAACTAATTTATATGGTAACGCCTTTGTGACTAATAAAAAAGGAAAAAAAAAACACAATTTGAAAGAGCACTTTTGTTCCCCTTTTTATTGAAATAAAACACAAATGAAAGAGTTGTTGTCACCTACGTTACTTGGCGACGGCTGCCCCTTTCCACTTGATCGGTACAACCAAAGAATGAAAAAAAAAACAAATTGGTGGGCCCAAAAGTTTTTATTTCCTTTTGCGCGCAAAGGGCTAACAGTTTTGCCAAGAATCAAAATGTTTCTACCCATAAAGTGCAATAAAACAAGAAAATATTTAGCAACTGCACTAACCATGGTCTGATAGAGTTGTGGAGGCTTGTAGCTTTTGAATAATATTCTTAATTATTGAATATATGCAACGCAGGAAAGCTTCGCATATTTCACACACGCCGTTACCGTCCGAAGACATTTTCCAGTGATAGTAGAAAACGGAACCGAAACCAACACTAGTTTTTTTTTTTTTTTGGTCTGGCTACCATGGCAGTATTATGTTGTTACACGGAGTGTGTGTGTTGTTAGAAGGCGTCATGCATGACAGGCGCGTCGTTGCGTAAAGTCGGCAGCACAGGTGTTCGCTTCTGCCGGCTTCGCTTTGCCGTAGGCGCGTAAAACGTTCATGACACAATTGGACAATGCACTGATTAGCCCCTCCCCGGCTGACAGTGACACGCGCCATTAACAGCTGTCCGCGGCCCGCACTTGACTCGGGGCCCGCATTGGACCGTGCCGACACACGGCGAGTGTAGGAGAAGACGGAAACACTGGTACCCTACGGTCGTCCGTGTGATGCTCGCACGGAGAACTGCTGATTAACCCATCGAAGCGTCGACGCCGTGAGTGACAAAGCGCACCATGACGGGCGACGGGAAGACCGAAACATGACGTCAAAGGGGGTGTACCTCAGCTCAGCGTTGCCTCATTGCCCATATCGCAGCAACTTTTGTCCGCACCGGTGAATCCCCTATTGTAGAGGACATCGCCTAGCGGTCTTGCTCATCTGAGTCTGACTGAACACCGCACCGGAGGCGATGGGAGTACAGTGTCTTTGATACTCCGGAGCACCCTATCCGGCTCAAATTAGGTGAGATTCGGATTGTTAAGTCAACTGTCGCTGATTGCCTTTGCGGCGGGGAGTGTCGCGTTGCCTTCGTTGGCGCAACCTTTGCCCGAGGTTTCGTTCGGTTGCGCAGGTTCTAAACTGGACATGTCAGACGACAGCGTTTCTCGTACAAAAACGTTTGTGGCATTTGCCTTGTCAAACCTTGCCTGTGCGAACACGCTTACACGGGACTAGAAGCAAGCAGCGATCACAGAAAGTTGTTGCGAATCGCGAACAACTCAAAACGAAGAAACGCGGCTCTTGTTCGGGTTTTCATGAGGGACTGCTGGAAAACGAACATTTCGATTAGGGCCGCGTGCGCAGAAGCATGCAGGCGGCTACAAATTGCTCATCGATTACTTGCAGCTGCGTCGGAGTTAAGCGAAACTTTGGTTATGATGGTGTCCCCGAACTTCGCCTTTTGATGTCTGCAAAAAAGAGAAGAGATAGCCTCCAACAACTTTTCATGCAGCCGTTCCGGCTGCCTAGCCAAGTGTCTAATGAATTTGTGTCCTGCTGTGTTGTAGGCTCTTAGAATTACCTAAGAGTCTGCCCCATACATTGACTTAATAGGGAGTGAGAGTGCTGCAATGAATCTTTGCCTCCTCCCCCCTCTTCCTGAATGGGAACTCTGCCCATGCTTATGACTCAAGGCAACATTCGCAATGAGAACAGCTGTCTGTTTTTCCCTTTCCACGCACAAAAATGCAGGATACCATGACTTAGGATTGCAGTGACAAAATGTGCATTCGGCTACAAAAGATGCACACCTTTTCATAGTAGTTTTAGTACTACAGAAATATTGCTTATGCATGCCTCTCAGTTCTTTAGACACTACCTGTAGCTGTGTTCTTGTTAGCATTGTGGGTTTTGTAGCCAGTTCAGTTGTTTAAACCTGTTTTGAGCTCTAAACTGACTGGTTTGAACAGCATTCCCTTCTTCGTTGACTGTGCAAAGCTCTTGCTAAGGCAGGCTATTGCGATGTTGTTAATGCATTGCTTGATCCCTGCTGCCAAAGTGCTGTAAGTAGTTGAACATAAAATGCGCTTAAATAATATCTGGGGTTTTATGTGCCGAAACTATGACATAACACAAGGCATGCCTATAGTGGAGAGCTCCGGAAATTTTCATCTGGGTGTTCTTTGAAATTCACTTGCATCATTCAATACGTGTGCCTCTCCGCCGTCAAAATGTGACCGCCACGGATATGTTGTGGTTTTTAGACTGACCTTTTTTTTGCATGAAGACCTTGTTCTGAATGTGGCAACTCCTATTCTCTCTTTCTTTTTGTTTCTTTGTTTTTGTCAGTCGTTTATATAGTGTTTTGTAAATGTATGTTCTGACAGGCCACTTGTTGCGTCCTATAAACAGGTCTGTAAAACTAAAAAATTTAGCCCACGAGTCTAAGGTCAAGTTGTTTGGGTGGATAATTTTGTTGCTGTGTCCTTAAAAAGAAAAAAAATGATATATTTAATTTTTACTTGAGCGATGGAACATAAGGAAAGCAAGTGGCACGTAATGCACTTTTGATCACGATTGGCTTATTTGTATGAGTTCCAAACTGGAGCCAGTCTCAGCCAAGAAGTCTGATCACAATCAAAAGTGCACCACATGATACCTCTGCTACTTGCCTTCCATTGTTAAGGTAATAAATATTTACGTTTCTACTTGGAACCAATCACAAACAAAATTGTATTATTTATAATACACTTTGATTTATTAATTTTTCATAGAACAAATAAACATTTCAGTTTATTTAGCAATCTTTTTCAACAGTCGTGTTAAATGACAATAGTTACAGTTACAGTGCATTTAATTGTTTTTATGAAAAGGCAATAGTCAACACAACATAATGTAAATCAGTATAAAAATTGAAAAAGAGGCAATGACATGAATGAAAAGCTGCTAAGAAGCAGCTTGACGAGATGCCAGACCGTGAAAACCATTTGGCCGCAGACATGTGGTCATCATCAACATTGAAGCTAAGGATAGTATAACATACATTACTTCTATGTCTTGAAGGTTGCGCAACAAATGATTAATGTCCTCTATACTTTACTTTGCTTCATTATTTGTTAATTTCGTCAGCTTGTATCTCAGAAAAAAAAAACAAGCCCTGGATAAATGCCTTCTCTTTCGTTGGAAATAAATTTCAGCTTGAGCAAGTACCAGCTGAAATTTAATCTATAACATTCTCACCAAAAGAGAGAGAATTCATAAATTCTCCTCTTTATATTCTTTCAGGAAGAATCGGAAGCCTTTTCACAAGCCTCTGTAGAAAGCAGGAGTGGGGGGCATCCCTACCACATACGTTGGAGGTGCACCATGGGATTCTGGCGGCAGCTGCGTGTGATCCTCTGGAAGAACATTGTCGTGTACTCGTTCAAGCGCCACTATGTGCTCACTTTCTTCACCATGGCGGTACCGCTGATGCTCTCAGGAGTACTGTTGTACCTCCGCAGTCTGGGGTTCAGTGGCGGCACCGAGCCGATTGTGCGGATGAACGCCACCGTCTACGAAGAGTTCGCTCCGAGTTTTTCGTACTCACTGCTGGGCCCGTATCCCTACGCGCCCAACACGACATACGGCAACAATCTCATGAAAGCCGTCTTCAAAAGCGGTGAGTCCCTCCCCGTTTTATGTTCCAGGTCGTACAATCTAAGGGTTATTGGCACGAAAGTTATGGTTCTCATTTTATTGCATCAAATGAAAGGCAAAGCCCCTCGAAAAGCCCAGAAAATGCCTAAAATTAATTACAGTTTTGTTTTTTACTGTACTCTGACATCATAGTCCGGTATGAGCTTCTCGTCACAATCACACACGAGATGACGCGACGTTTTCATGGTCGTTCTGCTCTACGGTTTCGTTGGTGATACAAAAAGGGAAATTTTGAGTGTTTTGGCTCCTGACGTCATCAAAACTAGCCGTGGTGGATGAAGTCACCGGAATGTCAAGCCCTCCGTTGAGGGCCTTTGAGGTATAATATTTAAATAAACAAACATATACTGTAGCCTGACGTAATGTTAGTGTCAATGTCAAGACGTGTGCGATGCAAAAAGTTTCTTATTCATATCTCCTAAAGGACCATGGGGGCATTGAATATAGTGTTACAGTCGCTTCTACAACAAACTTGCAAATAAGAGCATTGTTCATGCAGAAAGAAAGCAGTAAACAATGTCAAACGCAGTTTCATAAACAAGGTTGCTAAGAAAAAGGAATAACATCAGTCACGTACAAATAGAGAATTCGATAAGGGAACACTGCTTCAGTGTGAAATAATGCTATCGATGCTTTACTTTTATGTCATGCTATAGCTGCTATAATTGTCAAATAATGTCAGTTTAATGTCTTTAATGTTACTTTAGGGTCTTTAATATCAAAAATATTCTATCAGCATTTCATGAACTTCACACTCGCCCAGAGCCGTATCTTCGAATAGAGGGGATTTGTACACAGTGTGCTAACCTTTGAAAATCAGTGTCAGTACTTTGTTAAAATAAACAGGCGTAATTAAGGCATCTTTTGTGTCACGCTGTGAATATTGTCATTCAATTTCATACCGCGAGTACATAGTCAGTCGTGCTGATAGTTGTGCGCCGGTTGTTACCTTGCACAACGTGCATGTGGTGATAATGCAGGGAAGCGTGCTGAATGGAAGACGATGTTAGTGTGGGTCGAAAACATGCAACCCGCAACTTTTTTTAATCCTAAATTGTATACGCTCAACTATTTTGACATCGTTTGATGCAAATCTTCTTCCCAAACAACAAACTGCATCTACCATTCAGATCACTTCATTTGAGTGATTTGAATACTACTGGGAGGGATGTTTGACGTCAGAAGTATAGATATTAGTGCAAACATTGAAACAAGGACTAGAAAGAAAAAGTAGGAAGCAGGAAGTACAAGCACGAGCTTTATACTGCTTATTTCGTGAGTATTTGTTTGTGCTAATATGTATTTCTCTCACACCTTTTTATCGCCCTGTGCAGCTACCTTGATCATATGAATGCTGCTTTTGTTACGTGACGATGACATTATCAGCCAAATAGATGACGATGATTGAATAGTGTGCAGATGAGGATAAAGTGCATAATATATGCCACCCTGTATGAATGAGTTTTTTAGGACATGACAGTACAAAGAAGGTACTGGGAAAAAAAAAAGAATGACATACAGTAGAGATGTTGATGATTTTTGGGTGTTAATGTAGATTGGGGAAAGAGGCTTTTTGGGCTTTTTGAAATTACGCAGGAAATTTAGATGCTGCACGTGCTTAAGTGAGCAAAAGCTGGCAAGCCATGCTTACATTCACGATTTGGGCACACGGTAAAGAACCCCAGGTAGTCGAAATTTCCAGAGACCTCCACTACGGCGTCTCTCGTAATGATATGGTGGTTTTGGAACGTTAAACCTCAGCATATCAGTCAAATGCTGACTTCACGTAAGTGGTGTGAGTTTTATGCTCTGCTACCAAGCACAAGGGTCTCGTCTGCGCTGAGAGCTGTTATGACAGGCCCAATCGTAAAGCCAAAATATCTTGCCTTTGCTGATTCTGGTGCACATTAAAAAAAAAAGTGATGGTGGGATTTCAGTCAGCTACTAAGGTGTTGTCATCCCTCTTGTTGCATTTTTGAGGAGTTGAATCTAGTCAATCAATCGATTGACCAATAACTCAGTCTCTGTCTAAACTCTCTGGTCTCTCTACATAAGACTATTCGATTTTTATTGAGCAGCTGGTCCGCGTTTCAATTTGAACCTACCAACAGGGGAAGCTGCAAGGGTTCGCTATTTTAGCCAACACCTTGCCAAGTCTTTTCGCACTTTGTGAGGATCTAGTTAATGCTATTTTTTGTGCTTTTTGTTTCTGTCGATTATAAATATTTAACATGTGTTGATTAAAAATGTGATTCGATTGAGCTGATCAACCGGGTGCAAACATGTTTGGTGCTCGGTGAATTGATTTACAAACTCTGTTTGTTTTCTCTGCAATCCCGTCGATGGAAGTATATAATGGGATAGATGCTGTCATTACTCGTCAAATATTGTGAAACTCATCTTGATGGGAAAGTCGTACATTTCACTGAGAAAGGATGGTTTTCTTTTAGTTATTCGCTGATACTACTTCTTGAGACAGCTGTTTTTGTGGCTGAGTAAATTTTTTTCATTGCATAGGAAGTCATCTACCCGAAAAGTTTTTTTTGCATTTGCCTTTTAAAATTTTGTTGAATATGTAGTTGCTGTTTGAAAAAAATTAGCTTGTAAACGTAAAAACCTCATGAGAAATAGAAATAAAAAAAAAGCACAGTTGAAAAACAAATGGTTGTAAGAGACACCAGCATATTCTCGTAGAAACAGAGATTATTCAGAAAATGAGGACCCGGTATATAGATAGAATGAAACTTGATTACATATATTGCCCTGTCTAGAAAAGAAATCTTCATTTTCTGGCAAGCACTTTTAAGGTTTCTAATGACAGCTAGTATTGTCGCCTAGTCTGAAAGGGTATCACCGCACAGCAAGAAAAACAGTGTGAGCAAAAACCAGTGTTTTTGCTGTACCAGCCTTCATTGTACTGGCAGTGCAGTAAAACTGATCAACATTACCAAATAAATTTGCATGAGCCTTCTAATGAAGTGTTATTCACAGTTCTTATAAAGAGATGTGGCAAGTAAAGCAATTAGAAAGTGATGCAGGATCCAATTAAAACAGCAAAACAGTGTACGTTTAGGAGTAAGTAATATCTACTGCTATCAGCGACTTCTCGACATATGACATGACATGTCATCACGAACCTGGCCACTAAAGGTATTAGTGGTTCTGACAACTGTACGATTCGAAATGACTCCGATATGACATGAGCACCAGAAGTGAAAATACATGCACTACTTTGTTCCAAGTTTTCACTGTACATAAGGCCTGCGCTAGAGTCGTTGGACGGGCTTCTAAGAGACCAGTTGCACTTCGTGTGTGTGGAATGTACACCTGAGCTGCAATCGAAAGCACTTGTTTAGGAACAACAGCTGCGGTTACTGTCTCGCTTGAATCACCACCTGTTATCTTGCGGCCTCCGCACTCTTATCAGTGGTCGAACCCCTCGCAAGTTTCCGTGTTTACTTTATGATTGGGATGCAAGCCCACTCCACTACTCATGGAACCCCTGCAAAACAGACTCCTAGGATTATCGTCGTCAGCCTGCAATTATCCCTTACAGCCTGTTCGTGTAATATAACTTCGTGTGAGTGAGTTGGTTCATTCGAAATGCGTTTGTAGGCGGTAATACTGCAATGTGCATGTGCCAAGGCCGCTCGAATTTTTTCCTCATCTGTAAACTTTTCCTAATCCCGGTAAAAATTTAGCCCCTTTCACCTAGACTTAATGAACGTGAATATAACAAACTTTCGCCTATGGTGAAGGCAATGAAGCATATTCTCGCTTTTAAAACCAGTGTCTTAAGTATACATTTGTAACAGATATATGTCAATAATAGAGGCATTTATATATCATATGGAATTCTTTGTTCTGAGGTTTCATATCTTCATAAAAGAAAGCAATCAGTCAGATATGTCTCATCATTCTGTTCACCTTGGTTAGCCAAAGATTTCCATGTAGAGTCAGAATAGTATTGTCTGAGCTGCTTGAGAGGGCAGTGATCGCCTCGCTGTCAGTTGTGTTCCCATAGTATGATTTTCGTAGTTTGAACACCTAAAACAAGTGAATTGTTTGAACCTTGCAAACACTGTGACACCATGCCTTACACGTGTGTGATTATTGCATTCGAGGGCTTGCATGGCATAGTTGTGCTTGTTCTGTAAAGCTCGGCGGAAAGGTGGTGAGTTGGTTTGGATATATACCTCTTGAAATGGCACGAAAGGACTACCACAAAAGAAAGACTGTAAAAGGAACGGCGCACTGCCGACAACTGTGTGTTGTCCCGTTACCATCTCTCTCTCTCGTGGTATTCTTTGTGCCTTTTTGAGTTTCCAGTGAGCAGGCTTCAGTATCTCGACGCTTTTTGGAAGAAGCTGCGTGTGAAACATCATGTGGTGCAGTTTTTTTCGTGGGGGCAAGCTAATGTGGAGTGTTCCTTATCAGCCGGAAAGAACACATCTCATTTCGCTCTCCAACCCAGCTGGTGTCTCAGCATTGCAGCCCCACTTATCTCTATGGTACAGTGATGTCCCCGAAAGGTCATGACCTATTTCACTTGGTTTCCTTGAAGCACGAAAGAGATAGTGAAAGTGTTGGGGCAGTGTAAGTGGTGGTTGTGATTATGTAAACATACTTATTGATAAGGGCCGAGTTTCTTATAGAAACCTTGGCGTTAAGAGAGACTGGTGAGGGGCAGTGGTATGATATGTGGAGAAAGAATCAGTGCGATGCTTTGTACCAGTGATTAAATTTTGCCACCAAAACAGTCATTTCACCGATTAGGCTTGTATTCCTAGTTTGGGCTACAGAAGTTACCACTATGCTTTGCATCATGTCAATCTCTTTGTTTTCCTCCCCAACCATGGTTCTTGGCAAATAAAAGCCACACTGATATTTACTGCTATTCATAAAGATCGAGTCCTCCATAACTCCATGCAATGAAGACGGATAGGTTGGGGCAGTGATATG